AGAAGTAAACAAACAGCAAGAAAGCCCCCCTTGAGGGGGATTTGGGGGGTGAACCCTAAACCCTAAATGAGAATAGTTTGGGTGGTTGGGGTGGGACTACATGCTAACGCAAGCGAGCGGCCCGGGTGCTTTTAGCACCAGCGAGCTTCCCTTCTATACACCCTAAACCCTAAACCCTAAACCCTAAACCCCTAAAACCCCTACAACAGCTTAAGGCTTAAAAACCCCCATGTTTATGAGCCCTAAGCCTAAGCCCCTAGTCAGCCAACGCGAAGCTTGGGTTTGGTGAGGATGGTGATGTTTGGACTCGTTGTTTTGAGACTCAACATCGTGCAGAGGTAGTAGGACTTGTTGAATTTGAGGGACGTATTGAGTCGCGCAGGTCCCGTTGTTCGTGAGTGCAACATAGCGAAACAGGACGAACACTTAACGACCGTGAGCTAGGCAACAAAACTGGCCTCGGTACGTGGCCCGGTCATGCATCGCCTTGCCTCGCTTCCGGACTAGAGAACCAAGGTATACACTTCTCACATCTCGAGTCTCTCGAGACTCGAGTTCAAAGGAATAGGCTGGATAGCATGAACATGTTTTAAGCCCGCCACCGCTGAAGGGCAACGCCTCCAGACAAGGGGGCAAGTTCGGCGCCCCTTGCAGAATGTTGAGATTTAGGGGCGTTTACGGCTGAAGGTGTCTAACGTGTGGAAGAAGTGAGAGCATGTCAAGAGTGCATAAATTTCTTTGGCCCCTTCCGCGAGAGCAGATGAGACTGTTGCCGACCATATCCTTGTCCAAACAAACGAGACGTCATGTTCGGTGCAAGCGGCATCTGCGCCCAAAAGCACCAATTAAAAGATTGATCGGCGACGGTTGCGCCAAGAAATATCTATTCTTGCTTCCAATCCATATCCATCCTCCCGCTGTTGTACACATGAATATCCTCGAGTTGGACGAAAGAATACAAGAACGAAAGGGCATTTCCCTACTCTCGAGCACGTGCACGGTCCCACCACCACCCGGAATTGAGCCGGAGAGAAGAGAAATGCATAGAAATGCCCAAAGAAGAAAACAACAAAATCCAACTCGATTCGAGAAATTCAAGAGAGAGGATTCTCACAAGTAGAACTATCGCTTCACCTTGCCGACGGGCGCGCAATCGAATGTGGATCGACTCAACCGCTGAGGATGATGTTGAACTTGGTTTGCGGGTCCGAGTTGAAGCTATATTCGCTCCACCCCCAACTGGCAATGTAGATCATCTTGTCGGGGATGCGATGAGTGGCAGCTGTGACCAGCCAGAACGCACCCTTGCCGTCCGGAACAATTCGCCACAAACCTAGATCAGAAGTAGCTGGGCTTACTTCTTTCATACAGGAACTCAACATGAAATAAACTCAATTAACAGTTCTTCCAAAAAAGCCGACATGCATTTAGGATCCTGGTTCCAGTCCCAGACGGCGAAAGTGCCGTCCCAGTCTAAATACAGCATTTTCCCAGGCCCATCAGACCCAGTGCCAGTGACGAGCCAGTACTCGCCGTTGCCATTTGGCTGCAAGACCCAGCGGCACTCTGGGGCATAGTTGAGGGGATAAGTGTCTGCGCCCCCGGCCTGACAAGAAGTCCAGCAGCATACTTCTGTGTGCACCTTCTGTACATGTGCTCCTCCCTACTTTTGCACGCTGTGTCAAAGCTTATGCCGAAATCTTCAACACGCAAGAGAGGGCAGAACCCAATCCCTTGCAAAGCTGTCATTCAAGGCATGAACAACCGTATGTCGTATCGATTCGTATCGCTTCTTAGGCCTTCCAGAAGATCATTCTGCTTCCCGAATTGTCATTAGGCCGATGATCAGGCGTGGTCACGATCCAGACTTCTGCCGGAGCGAGCATGAAGGGCTGAATTTTGAACTCGTTGTCAACCTCCACAACACGGAACTTGCACTTCTGGTCACGGTTGAATGCATAGAGGCTCCAGCCACTGTCAAGCAGGTAAAGCATCTGTCCTGGCAGCCATGGACAAAACAAGTTGTTGGCCTGGGTAGGGAGCCTGCCCCGATCCCCTCATACATCTCTCATGTGGTTGGCAACCCGAAATCCGAGAAAGTCCTGGAGTGTAGTGTTCCGGCCCGGTAACCAGCCAGTACTCGCCTCCATCTGCCTCAAGTTGCCACTTGCACTTCGGGTCCTGCGCGCTGCTTGGGGGGGGGGGTTTCAGGGAAAACTGGCTTGGGGACACGCATGCTGAATACGCTGGTGACTCATGCACGCCAGTGGATCATGGCCATGCATACATGGAGGACGAGCAGCGCCTCATTCCAGGAGTAAGAATGGATGGCGCCATCCTTCACGAAGATCATCTTTCCGGGTTGCGCTTGCGTATAACTCGTGACAAGCCAGAATTGACCACTTCCATCTGAAAGAAGTCGCCAGCTGGTCGTGGAGGCTACGTTGAAGGGATCAAACTTGGGGCCGTTGTCCCAGTAGATCATCTTGCGTCGCTGGCCTTCGCGGTGGCCCTCGCCAGAAATGATCCAGTAGTTTGTAGAGGCCCCGATGCGTTGATCTGAACCGCTGAGGATGATGTTGAACTTGGTTTGCGGGTCCCAGTTGAAGCTATATTCGCTCCACCCCCTACTGGCAATGTAGATCATCTTGTCGGGGATGCGATGAGTGGCAGCTGTGACCAGCCAGAACGCACCCTTGCCGTCCGGAACAATTCGCCACAAACCTAGATCAGAAGTAGCTGGGCTTACTTCTTTCATACAGGAACTCAACATGAAATAAACTCAATTAACAGTTCTTCCAAAAAAGCCGACATGCATTTAGGATCCTGCTGCCAGTCCCAGACGGCGAAAGTGCCGTCCCAGTCTAAATACAGCATTTTCCCAGGCCCATCAGACCCAGTGCCAGTGACGAGCCAGTACTCGCCGTTGCCATTTGGCTGCAAGACCCAGCGGAACTCTGGGGCATAGTTGAGGGGATAAGTGTCTGCGCCCCCGGCCTGACAAGAAGTCCAGCAGCATACTTCTGTGTGCACCTTCTGTACATGTGCTCCTCCCTACTTTTGCACGCTGTGTCAAAGCTTATGCCGAAATCTTCAACACGCAAGAGAGGGCAGAACCCAATCCCTTGCAAAGCTGTCATTCAAGGCATGAACAACCGTATGTCGTATCGATTCGTATCGCTTCTTAGGCCTTCCAGAAGATCATTCTGCTTCCCGAATTGTCATTAGGCCGATGATCAGGCGTGGTCACGATCCAGACTTCTGCCGGAGCGAGCATGAAGGGCTGAATTTTGAACTCGTTGTCAACCTCCACAACACGGAACTTGCACTTCTGGTCACGGTTGAATGCATAGAGGCTCCAGCCACTGTCAAGCAGGTAAAGCATCTGTCCTGGCAGCCATGGACAAAACAAGTTGTTGGCCTGGGTAGGGAGCCTGCCCCGATCCCCTCATACATCTCTCATGTGGTTGGCAACCCGAAATCCGAGAAAGTCCTGGAGTGTAGTGTTCCGGCCCGGTAACCAGCCAGTACTCGCCTCCATCTGCCTCAAGTTGCCACTTGCACTTCGGGTCCTGCGCGCTGCTTGGGGGGGGGGGTTTCAGGGAAAACTGGCTTGGGGACACGCATGCTGAATACGCTGGTGACTCATGCACGCCAGCGGATTATGGCCATGCATACATGGAGGACGAGCAGCGCCTCATTGAAGGAGTAAGAATGGATGGCGCCATCCTTCACGTAGATCATCTTTTCCGGGTTGCGACTGCGCATAACTCGTGACAAGCCAGAATTGACCACTTCCATCTGAAACAAGTCGCCAGCTGGTCGTGGAGGCTAAGTTGAAGGGATCAAACTTGGGGCCGTTGTCCCAGTAGATCATCTTGCGTCGCTGGCCTTCGCGGTGGCCCTCGCCAGAAATGATCCAGTAGTTTGTAAAGGCCCCGAAGTCTTGATCTGTGGAGCTCGGCATGTGCGACTCTGCCAAGGTGTCAAAGTCGGTCATGGCTTGTACGGCCGTGGCTTTGCTCGAAACAGAAATAAAGGGTATGCCTGTCAAGATGATCTGAAGCTGCTGCGCCAGGTCCATGATTGTCATCCTCTTCCTGGGTGTCGTGATGGGACCGAACTGCCTCAGCAGACAGGGCTGGAATCTACATTGAGAACATTTGTGACAAGCTCCTTGCGCAGCAGCAGGAGCACAATGAAAGCAAAACACTGGCTTGTTTCGGACTTAGCCCCAATTCGTTCGAGCAGCATCTGCACGCTCAGCTGCAGCTTGTTGTCGCTCAAAAAACCTTGGATTTCGAAGCCGACCAGCCCATTGCTGGGACTCCGGAAGGAGAACAGGACGTGCTCATCCCTTGCCTGGCCTTGGGCTTCCACGAGGCTTTTGGCCTTGGGAAAGAGTGGTTTCATCTTCCGAGCTGCCTCGGCCCCACGCCAGGGCTCGGTGACCTTGCCGCCCATCTCATCGTCGTAGAGCATTGAAGCGATAAAGTTCTCCTCTTCAGTCAGCTGCTCTGCTCACACTCTTGCAAAAGGCATCAGTGCTCCAAGGCTTCATGACACGCAGCTCACCCTGCAACAGCAAGCGCTCAATTGAAAAATCCCCACCCAGCACTGTAGGGATCATCTGGCATTGGGCAGATTCTCAGAGCGCGGGCACAAGGGATGCTCTGCAGGATTTTGGGATTCTCTGGGGGCTGGTACTCTGTGGGGTTGGGGGGTCTCTGGAGGTGGCAGATCTCGGCCAGCAGCCTCGGGGGAGCAGTACAGGACACCCGGGCCCGGGCGAGGAGAACAGCTGACTTAAAATCTAGCGGGGAACAACAACAAACACAAACCCCACAAACACCACCATGACGAGGGCTGTGCACGCTTCATTCCCTGTCCTGCTCGATCATGAAACCATGGGACTCGCTGCTTGCATTGGCTTGGAGTAGGGAATCCTAGGCCGGGCCCGAAACACCTCTGACAAAATGTTCCGGCATATGATCCTCTTAAAGAAAAGATACAAGCATATCGCTTAAGGGCCTACTTTTTAGGGATCCTTTTTAAGCACGGACTGAGGCTGCCGGCAACACCTGAAAGCAGGGCCTTCTTGCCTTTAGCAAGGGTCGCATCAACTTTTAGGGATCCCTAAACCCTAAACCCTAAACCCTTCTTTAAAGGGGCGTTGGGTCCCAGAATCTCTGGACATGGCGTTCAGGCCCGAGTCGTCCGCACCATCCTCGGGAACCCCGAAGTTGGCCTTGCCACTGGCGGTGGTGGCTCCGATGTTGCCTTGGGTTTAGGGCGTAGGGTTTTACGGTTCAGGGTTTAGGGGGGTTTAGGGTTGTAACCATGTTTTTGAAACGGTGCCCCTTTTGGTTGGGGGGGGGGGGGGGGGTTGGCTACTTCATAAGGGAACCTGGCCAAAAACCTGATAGGACCCACGAACCCGAATGCGGGATGCAGTAACCCATAACGCATATATAAAACGACATTAACGAAACGTCGGTGCGCGGGCGGAAAAGGAGCTTTTCGTTTCGCACGGTTCAAAGGCAGCATTGCGCATGAAGTGCAGGAGCTTCGCCTGATAGCGTGTGCAAGAATAGTTCATGATACACAAGACTAACGCATGTCGTTGAAGATTTTTCTTGCCCGTTCAGATTGTGCACTCTTCGCACTGCTCCAAACACTGTACAGAAGCATTACAGATGTGAGATGAGATCCAACAAATGTTCCTACGCGCTCAGGACGGCTGGCAAAGCCTGCATCAGAGTCGCAAGGAACGTTATAGCAGATGCTCGCATCATGCTCCACAGGGTCTTGCCTTCGTCTACTCCAACACGGATTCATCCGATCTGCGAATGCGGCGCACAGAAGTGAAAACATAAGTGAAAGCACGCCTTCAATGAGGTCGAAGCCTGCGGATGATAGTCCACAATCCACAAGCATGTCCGCGGGCCAACGGTCGGTGCTCGAACAACAGCCTTCGGTCTTCACATCGCTCCGCGACGAATCCAAGGTCATACCTGGACACAGGATAAGTGAACAGTGCACTTCCCCAAAGTCGAGAGCTCTGTAAGTAGTACGCCAACGCTCGATACCAAAACGTTCCCCCGAGTATTTCAATAAACTTCTGAGTAACCTCAAAGTCGCACTCAAATCACCCAAGGATCCATGTGCGATGACAAAGCTGATCTTCTGCCTCAGTGCAACACGTCAACATACATCCGCGACATCAGCTCACGCAGCTGATCTTCTGTCTCAGGACAACACGTCAACATGCATACGCGGCATCATTTCGATTGTCAACAACGATCATGCGCATCAGAGTTTCCGATGAATGCTCCCTACCAAGCACGGCCTCTGCACATACACGTGCCACGCGTGGCTCAGCAGGTCCTTGAAAACCTGGCAAGAAACATCTCTAGCAAACACGTGCACGGGATAGACGTGCGGCGCGCATGACAAGGCCTGGCGCAGAATCCCTGAATATTGCCGCGACTACCATAATGACCGATCGCCGTGATTCACCTCCGTTGTCTAAAGAATCGCAGCTAGGACAACAACAAGAACAACAACAGCTACGGTTGGAAGAACCGAGCAACATTCAAGGACGTCATGCCACACAATCTCGGGTCCTCGTGTTCAGTCCAGGCAGGCGGCACACGTACGGATGTTGTAACGGGGGGGGGGGGTTGGTTGCAACTTAATCCAAAGTTGTCAATCTCGAGTGAGGCAGAAAATACCATCTCACATGAACTAGTCCACAATCCAGAGTCGCACCCCGGAACTCCAAACAAGAACGATAACTCCGGGATTTCAGAACGCTCCTAAGTAATCTAAAGCAATCAGGCGCGGGGTGTGGGCCCAAGAGCATTTTCGGTGTCTATCGAACCAGGCCGCCTGCATGTGGTTCAGGACCCACACAAGACCGAGAATAGGGATCCATCTGAAGCACTAAAGGGTTCAGGGGGCCCGCGTTCAACCACTGGCCTCATATACCCGACATCAAGTCCACTATCCAATCCTATGTCCTATATGTCAACGAACCACTGCCCTCACGGAACCGAAATCAAGTCCAGGATCCAATCATGACAGTTGCCTTTCATCACCGCTTGATTCGCAGCCGTCCACAATCGACACAGGCGCCGTCGACACTCTCGCTCCTCCTCCGTGAAGCGACCCTGCGGAACTTCATCGCTTGTGGTCGGCACGTTGAAGGGGGCTTGTCCCACAGGCAAAGACGCCAAAACCTGTTGTGCCTGCCGCTCCGCCGCCTCCTTTTCCAAACGAGCCTCTAACAGTGCCATGCCATGCGACAAGTGCTTCAACACGGGTCCACAGGTCATTCCGGGTTTCGCGCTATAGTCGCAGGTGTAGAAGCCAGTCTGTGTGCCAGCACGCATGCCTTCCACGACGCATTCCAGCACCAACGACCGCAATTTCCGCTGCGACTCCGACAGCACGCGATCGCCGACCCTGGCCATGTCCGCCATGCCCTCACGTTGAATTTCCACGAAGGAAGTCCTCCGACAGACCGTCCGCAGAACACACAGATCCTTCATGTCCGCATACCGAGCCAAGATCTCGCCAGTGACTCGCCTAAGCATGTCTGGCCAGGACAGATCCAGCATGTTCACCAACGCCATCATCGCCCCACGCACAGTCATGATGTGCACTCGAATGGTCTGCAAGCTGCGACACCGTCGCGAGTCAAAGATATGATCCTTGGACAACTAGAAAGTAAAGAAAGTAAACAGCTACCCCCTCCCCCCCCCCCCCCCCCCCCCCCTCCATCCCTCCCACTCCCCTCAGCCACTCCGAACGCCTCCCTCCTCATTGATCCCGTCCTCCTCAAACCCGTCGGTCAGAGTCCGCCGACAATCTTGATAGTTCAAATTACCCCGAAAGGCCACGATGCCGGCCTTGTATGCACATACGCCACCACAGCTTGCAAGTCACCTACACACAGAACCGCAGCCTTCTAATGGGTCCAAACGAAGCCAAGACACCAAGTAACACTGCCCCTCCCTGGGATTCATGAGAACTGTCACAACCCGACCACGAGTTGCCCTTTTCCGGCTGGTTTCCACGCGGCTGCCCAAGCCGATCTTTCCAGAGAACAAATCAGCGCTCACTTCGATGCGACTCCTCGGCACCGGAACAGAATCGCCGGGCCACATAGGCAGAATCGGCTCTTTGCCTGTGCGAGCAACAACTCCCGCAATTTCGTTCGTCCGGTTTCCTCGTCCGTGAAAGGCAGCACGACGAAATGCGTGAAATTGAACCGACAGTGTTGAGGCTTTCGCCGGCTGCCCTCTGGCGCGTACTTGAAACAGGTGCTTTGATGCTCGTGCAAATGGCCAGCCAAAGAACACACGGCACGTGCATCAGCTGCAAAAAGATCCCGAAACTTTTCAGCATCCTCTTCCAGGCTGCCCATGTCCGCCAACTCATCATTTTTTCCTGACACAGCCGACACTGGCATGCGCCCATGGCACGAGGTAGCACACGATAGCGAGGTAGTCGAGACATCACCGCGCCCGTCAAAGGAATTTCACGCACCTTCGGCTTCGATCCCTCAGCCGGCGCAGGAGCCCGCGCGATATGGCCATCCACATACGCATTGACAACCGGAACCAAAGGACGACGAACAACGTCATCGGAGCGGACATCCTTCGCCTGCTCTCCATATGCCTCTTCCACCTCACCGTCGAAACGGTCGCTCTTCTGCCACTTCGCCAGATACGGCAAAGGACACAATTCAACGTCACTGGGAATCGGACCATCTCGCAATTGCAAAGGCAACAAAGAAGCACAGGACGACATGATGCTCTCCACCGCCCGAAGAGTCGCCTCTTGCCACGCAGCGAGACGCGCGCGGGCCTGTGGTATACAAGCAAATCACACCAAAGAAAGACAAAACAGGTATATTAACATGCCTAACAGAATCGGGCCTCGGCGGTCTCGCGCCTCAAGATCTCCTTGATCCAACGACGAGAGGCCCGGTTGACGAAATGCAGCACTATGTGCGGGTGAAGACTCAGACGGGCCTGCTCCTCTATGGGTCCATGCAATTGAAAAACCGCCGGAAAACTGCCACCCAAAAATGCAGCGGCCGCTCCATCCGGCCAAGTCACGCCGGCGCGTGCTCCATTCGCCCGCAGTTGATGGTCGAAGGGCATCACACACAACACATGTTCCAGAAATAATTGCATGGATACAATAAAGAACTGCGCCTGGGCAATTGGGTTTTGCGACACCATGCGTAGCATCTCCTTTGCCGATGGCATCGTAGGCTCCTGGCACTCACTTGGTCACAGTGTTCTACAAACCAAAAACACCAAAAGGAAAACTCCAAACCAGCATCAAGCACTCCGGGTCCATCCTCGTCCAGAAGAGACACGACATACTTCTCTGAATCGCCTTCAGCAGTTAGGCCGCCACGAGGATGCTTCACGCAGCCACCATGCAGCACGACCATCAACGGATTCCTGACATCAGCCACGTTCGGCGTCAGGAAACCGTCGATCCCTCCACGCAGAAGCATCGCTCCATTCTGCTCGTGCCGCAACTGCTGCCGCGCCCCATCGCTGCCAACCACTTGGTTGGAGAAATGGTGCAAGTCTGTCAACGCATTTTTGACGTCGGCGTGGACATGGCTGGACTGAAACACATCAACCATATTGGCTCTCTCTACAAGCACCTTCAAGGCTTCGGAGAGTTTCTCATACGTGCAGTCCAGGATGGTCTTCAAAGATTGCTTGAAACTGCGACGCCGAACGTACGCAGACGCAGAACGAATCAGCTTCATGCGCTTCCAAGAATCACTGACCACGGCAATGAAATTGAAGTCGCCACGCCAACGAGCAATGGACGGCGGCTGGTAGCCTGTGCCAGCTTCGATCGGCACGGCGCCATCTCCTCCAACATCGTATTCCAGCTCCACTCGCTCCAGCAAATAGCTTCCCCACTCACGAAAGGTCATAGGAGTAACGCGGCGAAGGCCGAAAACGCCATGGCTGTATGGGAACAATTCAGGAAAGCAATTTTGCCAATAATCGGCATGATACATCGAAAGTGGCTCTGAACCCGTGTACACAACATGAACGCGCTTCTTCGAAGAATCACCATCATTGGACCTGATTGCAAGTCGAGCGAGTTGGCAGCTAGCAGCTAGCACGACCCTTACGCAGAAGAGCATAAAATAAAACAACATGTGCCACCTCGCCCAGACACGGTGCAATGCGACCCTCGACCTCATCCATGGCCTGCACCAGCCCGTCCAGCTTCTGCTGCAAGTCCGCCTGTGACATCGAAGCCACGGCGCCACGCAGACTTTCCACCTCCGCATCCATGCCCAGCCCAGTCTGGCTTCGTCTCTCCATCAGCATGATGATCTTCGCAGCCAGCTCCTTGCAGGAACGCTCCACATCCAAGTCAGCGGAGCTCACATCGGCCACAGCGCAGTTGAAGGACGGCGAGGCCTCGTCCTCCCCCTCTTCTACATCGTCGTCGGGCGACTGCTGCACGCAGTCTCCATCGGCATCCTCCGACACCACGGCCTCAGCAATGTTCTCCCCGCGGACATCCTCGGGCACGTCTGCAGGTCCCGGCAACTTCGCTGGAACGGCTTCGGCGGCGGCAAGAACGGAGGCCTGCGCCTTCACTGCTTTATGCAGTTCCACGAACCGTTCTTGAGCCACCTCTTCGCTGATCTCCAAAGTCTGATACGCCGCATTGTGCTGCGTCAAATATCTAGCGGCAGCCATGTATACATCCCGCGGAATTTCTGCCCATTGCGCATGATCCAAATCCTCGGCACACCACACCCTTCCACCCCGCCACCCCCCCTGCCTTTGCTGCCCTAGCACTAACACACAGAAACGCTTGCTCTGCACACAAAAATACATCTGGATCGGCGCCGACCAGCGCAATCGACAGTGTGTCGGCTAGATAAGGTACCGCCTCCTCGCTCGTGGGCGGCAGGCGCGCGGTCACCAGTTCCTTCATCTTTGCTTGCGGGAACGCCACAGTATTGGCGCGCATGCCGCACTGCTTTTCTTCCGGAGCGCCTGGCTTACGCGGCTCGGCGATGATCTTCTGCACCACTGCGCGACCCAAAGACAGCAGCAAAAAAAGTCATCGAGGACAAACGACGGCTTCCGTTCCGGAACACACTGGGCACCCGCCCAATCCACAAATCATTGGCCAGCGCAAGGGCGTTTCCGCGTCAAACTTCCCGCACATTCTGCACAAACCCAAACCTCGGTGGCACTGGTGAGGATATAGGGAACCGACGTCCTGTTTAGCAGCCAAAGCCACGGAGAGCCATCTGCATACTTCCCATATGGATGCTGCACGCAGCTGCACTTCAATTCGCATTTCGGCAACAGCGGCCACCGTAGCAGGTAGCGCTTGTAGTCGAAAGTGTTCTCATGCACAGCTGCGACCAGGTCCTTCTGAATAGCCAGCCCCCTGGAAGCACTTGCCATGTCCGGCTCTTCTGCCTCCGCATCGGATTCGTCACGCGCCACTTCCTGCTCGGGCACGCTCTCTTCCACCAGAAGGTCCCCGTTACCTGTCGACTCGTCACCGACCTTCTTCTCGCTCGGCCGAGTAAACAGCTTCAGGCGCTTCAAACGCTCCAGCCACATGCCCCGGGCGCACACAGCACAAGGTTCCAGACGCCTTGGCTCCGCAGTGGAGCCTCGCGCTGCATGCAGATAATGGAAAGCGTGCGCACCCAGGCCCCGACGCATCTCTTCCCCAGAGACTGGAAACGGACCTTACACACGGATCAATCAGGGAAGCGGCAGCCTGTATCCGGCTAAGTACCTCCCGTCACAAAAAGGCTAAGTGCCACCCGTCACAATACAACGCCAACTACAGACAACCAACTACAGATAAGACGCCGTCTTGCTCCTCGTAGAAACCATGCGCTTGCGATACTCTTCTTGGGCTCGCAAAACATCACACTGAACGTCTGGCAAATGCCTCTCCTACCCAAGTCAAGTGCAGGCGCACCGACACCCCCAAAAAACCCGCGCAATGCCATTCCCTGTCCTTCATGCGCAACGCGATCTCATCCCGCCCGTCCGTCTGAAAGTCGCAGAGCTCACAAGCAAACATCCCCGAACACATCGGGAGTCGGGGAAGACTCGTCGAGCACCTCAGTCTGATTTTGCAAGAGATTCCAGCTCGCACGTCGACGGAATGTATAAATTGGACTGTACGTATATGCAAGAACGCAAGTAAAACTCAAGTAACGTGCTTCCAAGACACCATCGTCAACAAAAGAAGATGCGGGAAGATACACGTCTCTCGCCGGGCGCAAACGCCAAATGCCAGGAAATCGCTTCTCCCACAACGCAATCTCTCCCGCTCGCACGCCAAACCTGCCGCCAGCGAACCGTCTCTGCTGCACCCTGCGCAAGTTCCGAGCCAAGACTGCATGATTGCTATTCTTGCCGAACTTCGGCAGTTCGCCCGTGTCTACGCGCAGCGCCTCCGTCTCCTGAAACCAGACTTCGTGCTTCGGCCACCACAAGAAGACGTGCGACGTGGTCGACTTCTCCCAAGCATCCAACACGGAGTCCATCAGGCAAGCGCGATAATCCATCACCCGACCTTTTCGACGAGCCACGCGCGCCTTAAACCGTAGGCGTCGCACCAGATTAAGGCCCTGCGCCAGATCCCTTTCCATCTTATCGGAGCTTGTGATTTCAGGCAAACGAGCATTTGCCTTGCAGAAGTCGGACACGGCAGCGCGAAACGTCGAGGTCGGATCCCAGGAAAGCCAGCCAGACTCTTCCAGCATGGCCTGCGCAGCATGTCTCGTGGCATCATCCATGGGCAACACGCCCAGCTCTCGCTGAACGTCCACTGCAACGGAGCCCCGCACTATGCCGACCACCAATTCCACGCAGGCGCCTCGATGATCCCTGGCACGATCCGCGGCAGTACGGCCTCCTGCATAACATCGACAAAGCATGTCTTCAGGCAGACCTCGGCATAAACGGGCACATATCTAACATATTTCGATGCGAGAACGACAAGCCAAAAAAAAGACTTCGACAACTATGCAAGGAAGCCCAGCAACAGCACAACGGCTCCAAGATTTCCAACACTGTACGATTATGAAAAACATCGTAAATGGTTTCCGCGACGGAGCAAATGCTCTCGCGCCAGGAGGAAATAAACTCCTCATACGGTTGTGCCCAATCCGATGCACTTTCCACCAGGCGGATAGCTCTCTGAACACGACGCGCCAAGGCGTCCTCGCCATGGACCGCCGCTTCCCGTCCACGGCGGGCATGTCTGCCATGCTGCAGATGAAAAGCGGCACCTTCCTCCAAAGCGGCTTTAGCTGCGCCGACACTCATCTCTACACATGCATCTGCTGCGTGCCAGGACTCCAGAAATGCAGCATGTGCGATCGCAAGTTCAGGAAAAGAATCCAGGCAGGCCACAGCCCGCTGGAGCCGCTGTGTCAGGGCATCCTCGCCATGGACAGCCGCTTCCCGTCCACGGCGGGCATGTCTGCCATGCTGCAGATGAAAGGCGGCGCCCCTCGAAAGCGGCTTTTGCTGCGTCCAGAGTAACGTCTGCTGCGTGCCAGGAGCCAGGACTCCAGAAATGCAGCATGTGCGATCGCAAGTTCAGGAAAAGAATCCAGGCAGGCCACAGCCCGCTGGAGCCGCTGTGCCAGGGCATCCTCGCCATGGACAGCCGCTTCCCGGCCACGGCGGGCATGTCTGCCATGCTGCAGATGAAAGGCGGCGCCTTCCTCCAAAGCGGCTTTAGCTGCGCCGACACTCATCTCTACACATGCATCTGCTGCGTGCCAGGACTCCAGAAATGCAGCATGCGCGATCGCAAGTTCAGGAAAAGAATCCAGGCAGGCCACAGCCCGCTGGAGCCGCCGTGCCAGGGCATCCTCGCCATGGACAGCCGCTTCCCGTCCACGGCGGACATGTCTGCCATGCTGCAGATGAAAGGCGGCACCTTCCTCCAAAGCGGCTTTAGCCTTTAGCTGCGCCGACACTCATCTCTACACATGCATCTGCTGCGTGCCAGGACTCCAGAAATGCAGCATGTGCGATCGCAAGTTCAGGAAAAGAATCCAGGCAGGCCACAGCCCGCTGGAGCCGCTGTGCCAGGGCATCCTCGCCATGGACAGCCGCTTCCCGGCCACGGCGGGCATGTCTGCCATGCTGCAGATGAAAGGCGGCACCTTCCTCGAAAGCGGCTTTTGCTGCGTCCAGAAAAACGTCTGCTGCGCGCCAGGACTCCAGAAATGCAGCATGTGCGATCGCAAGTTCAGGAAAAGAGTCTAGGCAGGCCACAGCCCGCTGGAGCCGCCGGGCCAGGGCATCCTCGCCATGGACAGCCGCTTCCCGTCCACGGCGGGCATGCCTGCCATGCTGCAGATGAAAGGCGGCACCTTCCTCAAGCGCAGAGAGCACGGCCAGGTCGCGGCGACTGCTAGAAAGCACGCCATCCAGCACGTCCGCGAATTCACACGTCAGGCTTTCTCGGACTTCAGCGTCCAAAGATGGCCAAGACTTCCGAAGCATGCTAATCCCACGAGCCAACGTGTCCTCTCTCGCCAGAGTTCCATTTCTAGCCGGCAAACACTTGTGCAAAGCACGAAACTTACGCAAGTCGGAAAGTATCTTGGAATGCCTCTCGCCTGCATCCTCTGCCTGCGAGATGACCTTCCCGCAAGGCTGTTGCGCTGCCGGCTTTCGCAGCGGAATCACTAGGCTCCCGTCCGGACGCCGATACCTTCTTGGCGGACAGCTTGCCCATGCCGCGTACGTGCGGGGTCCACGCCGCCTGCACAAACTCCACCTCTGCTACTCAGCACAGAACCAAAAAGAAACAGCTACAGACGCATAGACTTCAACAGATTTGCAGGTAGCAAGAGCAAGTTCCAGTGCGTAGGCTGATGACAAGAAAAAAGCGCGCAGTAAGGCCCTCACAAACGCACAGGACCCCAACAAGGCCCTGGGTGAGTCTGGAAAACACTTTCTCAACGAAATTCCCGTCAACAATATTCTTGCCTCTGAACAGCACGTTCTCGACCGCAATCGCTTTGACGAGACTCCCGCCTCATCTGCACAGCACAGTACCACAGCAAATAACAAGATCGAGGCAGGGTCCAGGCCGCCCCCCTCTTTCACGGCCAGCCGAGCCCTACGCCAACGACAACAAGTTCTGCGTGGACAGCCGAGCCGATATCCAGCTGCAAGATTTGCTTTCACATATGCATGGCAAGAAGGCGCGACAGCACACTGACTTCCACAAGCTCAGCTCAAGCAACCATTCTGAGGCCCGGACAGCTCGCAGCCAACCATTGCACGGGGGCGACAGCACACAAACTGACTTCCACAAGCTCGGCTCAAGCAACCATTCTGAGGCCCGCACAGCTTCCAACCAACGATTGCACGGATTAACGCGCGTCCGGCCCAAGTCCCCCTTAGGTTAGCTGGACGGATTCCGCACGGTACGGAACGCCACGTCCTATTGTGGCATTTCCCCTGAGCTTGACGGATTCGGATCCGCCCCATGGAAGTTTCCCCTCGCTAGACGGATGCGGAACGCTAGGGAACGCCAAGTCGGCGCGCGTCCGGAACCACGTTGGCGCACATCCTATGGATCGGCGCACGTCCGAAACCCCACGTTGGCGCATGTCGTATGGAATTCCCCCGGAACGCTACGGAACGCCACCTGGAACGCCACAGCTTGACGGAGTCGGAACGCCACAGAACGCCACGTCCGCGCACGTCCGGTAGAATTCCCCCTTGGCTTGACGGATTCGGAACGTGCGGAACGCCACGTGGAACGCGACGGCGGCTCGCGTCCTGTGGAGTTTCCCCAAAGCTTGACGGATTCAGAACGCCATATAGTACGCCACAGCGGCGCGCGTCCTGTGGAGTTTCCCCTTAGCTTGACGGATTCGGAACGCCGCGGGAACGCCACGGCGGCGCGCGTCCTGTGGAGTTTCCCCCTTTTAGCTTGCCCCCTTTAGCTTGACGGATTCGGAACACCGCGGGAACGCCACGGCAGCGCGCGTCCTGTGAAGTTCCCCCTTAGCTTGACGGATTCGGAACGCCGCGGGAACGCCACGGCGGCGCGCGTCCTGTGGAGTTCCCCCTTAGCTTGACGGATTCGGAACGCCGCGGGAACGCCACGGCGGCGCGCGTCCTGTGGAGTTCCCCCTTAGCTTGACGGATTCGGAACGCCGCGGGCACGCGCGTCCTGTGCAGTTCCCCCTTAACAGCACGCATTACGCCACTCGCGGACGCTTGCGAACGCTTCGCGGACGCTTCGCGGACGCTTGCGAACGCTTTGCGGACACAGCGCAACGACGTTTGGTAACCACCCATGCAGCCCAACTTTAAAACGGGAACCCTTCTGCGGAGCATTCGGGAAAAACTCGGCAAAAGGGCACCACTGGGCTACCAAGTTGCTGTTGCTGAAGCCGGTGCCAGACCCGAAACGCTTCTTCAAGCGAATCGTTCTGGTCAGAAGCGGTATCCCTCCGGACATGATGTGCATCTCAATGGCACTCAAATCCACACCTCAGCAAAACAAAGCGAGGCAACCCACCATGGAAGACAGCACTTGACTGACATCAAACGAGACAAAGAAGACTCAGGGCTCAGGGTTCAGGGTACTGCGCCGCGACTGAGCCGAGTGCCACCCGGCTGCGTGTCGGGCCAGCACACGTGGGTTTCCACCTTCGCAGCTTCGCGGCTGTGCTGCGGGAACTCTGCAGGCTTTGAAGGTTCGTTTACTTCGGAGGTGTGAGTTTTACTTTTGGGTTCGCGCATCTCTCTTTGCTAGACCGTTGGCTCCAAGGCTTTCAAGAGGATTGGTCACCAGCATTTCTCCTGCAAAGTCACTTGCCGTACATCGTATAACTACCAATGTATATATGCTTTAGTAACTTCATAAACATGTTCAATGGTGAATTATAATTGCAACATAAAGACCTACGTGTTTGCGTTAGTGTATGTGATACACATTAACAGGAAATGATGCTGTTGTTGATGCAGTAGTTGTGTTCTGTATCAAGTGACACTCGATGCTCTAGCGCCCACGCGATTTAGGGTTTTGAGCGCAGTGCTTCGGCGCACTCACTTTGCTTTTAACAACACAAAGGGCGCTTCGAGGCCAATGGCTGTGGAAATGTGCTTATAGGGTAAACAAGACCATTATTAAGATCATGATTCTTTCTCCTACTGTTTTCACGATGATTACCATGCATTTCGATTACTGCTAATAGTACGATTGCTGTTATTATTTGTTGTTACTATTGGTAATACTGCTACGAATGAGAGTAGCGTTTCTACCCTTACTCAGATACGCGCTTCAGAGTTCAGGTCTTGAGCTTGTCGAAGGCGGCTGCGCGATGTTCTTCGATGTTCTTGTGCTTCGAAGGTGATTGGTGATTGAAGAGCTTTGGAGCCATAATCGGACAAAGGTACAGATGACAGCAATCGCAACAGTAGTAACTGACACTAACATTATAAAAAGTCTTAGGGTCTTGTTGAAGGCCATCGTCAAGGGCGCCTCTGCAATCGGCGACGGCATGATGTCGAACTCAAGGCCGCCCACGAAGGCAAGAACTGGCTGGAGGCCAAGGCTGTAAACCACAGTGGCGCACCTCTCGAGTGGCGTCTCCCAGGTATAGAAGGAGTATCCTTCCCACTTGCTGGGGTTGTCCTTCATCCACTGGTTCGCACAAGGCACCGCCCAAGGCTCCAACTTGACAAACTCGCTCGGAACGTTGTCGCTCTGTCGGCCAGGGGTTTGCCAATCCCTCGGCTGGACTGTGTTGCCAGGGCCACCCCGCACGCTTGGCGCAAAGGCCAGACAAGACCCCGAGTCGGTTTCCACACCACCGAACTGCGTGATGAGCTTGTGCTCCTGCGGCACATAGTCCGAGGCCCCAAAGCCAAGACCTCCCTCCGGCTCATCGTCGTCCCCTCTTTGCTTATTTTGCCCCCTTCGGGTCTCCAAGAGCGAGGACCCAAGGGGCTCCTTTGGTTCCTTAGGCGCCTTTTGGGCCTTCTGCGGCTTGCGGCTGCTGAGGCGAATCTCAAAGTTCTTGTGGAACTTCTTGACAACAGCTGCGGCCCCAACCTCCGGGAATTTGGTCTGGACCGCCTCCTGGGCTCAGGGCCTTCTCAACCAGTTTCGATGCCATTCGGGCGAAAACGACGATGAACTCCTGCATGGCCAGAGCTGGACAGAGCAGGGGGGGGTTTAAAGCCGGCCTGCTTGATTTTGTAGACGCGGCTCACACTGGACTATTTGATAAACACGCCAGTATCTTGATAAAGGATTGGCATCGGTTTTTTTCAAGCAATGGCAGGCGCAACCCTCCCCATTGACCTTGCAACATGGTTGGCATTCAGCAGCTTGTTTAAGGGGTACTGTTTGTGTTTGTTGGCCGCTATTCCCTAACAACTCTACGTACGAATCCTGAAATATGAATGTTAAGGTGACTACACCTGGGTTCTGCCATGAAACAACGATGCTCGGCTTTTAATGGCTCGGTTTTGGTGTTGATATCGCAGGGGGGGAGGAGGCGGCGAAATGCACTCGACGCTACACAAAGGTCAAAGAAAGCACGAAGAAATGGCGATCTAGGGATTATGTTTTAAGGCCCGTCGGTTGAGGGTTCAGTCTAAGGTTTCCTTACCAAAAAAATAAAATGGCAGTGGGCCAAAACACGTGCCCTTGTCGCAGCCTCTTGTTTCATACCCTTTGTCGCGAATTGGGGATAGCGGCGTGTCATACAACACAAGGCTTGAAACTTGAAACTCCTTGTTGCAAAAGGCCGCCCAGTCTTGTTACCAGTACAAGCCCTGTGTTGTTGGAATCCAGAAAGGGAACCCCAGGAATATAGCAGGTTGAGAAGCCAGAAGCCTGACAGCCCACAAAGCCTTCACAGGCACGCTGTAGGCAGCGTTTCCTTCGGCACTCGCGCAACCCTGTTTCTCATTGTAGCGGCGGATTCTGATTCCAAGTCGGTGTTTACAGTTTCGGTTCTTCAGCTGTCGCTTACAGACGTCTTGCTGCCGGTTGTCTTTTGGCAAATGCTTGGCCTGGCATTGTGAGGGGTGCTGGCGATTCATCGGTTCAAGGTTAACGGTTTAAGCAGTGGTCCTCCATCATAGTCTGCATCTGCGTCAGGAAGCTCAATGGTGGTACAACCTCCAGCATGGTGTTACCTATCACCTTCGCGAAGCAAGAAAGGGAATCCAAGGAAACTCCCTCTTTGACACTCTGTTTGATGCAGTCAGCAATGCTGAAGCCCAACTTCGCGATTGTGGCGAGAGGCCCGGGCCAATCGAAGGACATCTCCTCAGCTGAATGAACCGATGGCGAACATTGACTGTGGGGCTTCTCTTCCGGCTGCGCTTACGAATGCTTCGAGCCATCTTGCATCAGCTTACATTTAGCTCGCCCATTCCGGGCGCCAGCCAGCATGAAACTTGAACTTCACTCCGATTGTTGCCGGTTTGGACTTCTTATTCTTACTGCTACTGCGCTCCTCTTTAAGTCGTCAACCCACAACGCACATCTGCATGCGTACGCCTTGATTATGCCACAGAAGGAAAGCATGGCCGTGCCCGAAAATTGCTGCCACAATTCCCCGAAATTGAAGTCAAAGAGTGTGATGGTCTGGCCGACCAACGTGGCCTGGCACTTTTGCCTCCCAAAGTTGATCTTCACCCTGTCGGGGTTTGCATCGACCGAGGGCGAATCTGAAATTGGACAACTGGCTCCGAAGTCAAAGCCCTGCGTCAGAATGGCCATGGCCATTTCGACCGTGTCAATGACCGTATTGGCAACAAAGGACACCTGGTCCGTCGCCGAGTTGTAGGCGTCACTAACAGCATCAAAGGCTTTGGCTGCCACCCCATGATCCAGCTCCCGGACGTCAGAGCCTGCACATTGTGATAAATACTAATATTAGAGGTTTAGGCTCCGGCACGCGGCTCCTTGCTGACATGTCATTTGGCCCGCCTGCTTGCAAAGCTGAAGCTCTCATCTTTAGCGACTCTGTTGTTTCCGGGGTTGCCACAGGGGCTTTGGGTGCCGGAGGCTCCGGCACAGGTTGCGGGGGAGCAGGTTCGGTAAAGCCATGCTCATGCTGGTGCGCGTGCTTGCCAAGGATGGATCGAAGCATGTCCACTGACCTGTCCTTTTGCATCTGCGTCACCTGGTCATGTTGATGCAGGGGGTTGCACTAGCCCCCATAGATGCACAACTCATGTGATGATAGCAACCCACCTGCCTTCTGCCGGTGCTTCTGGTGAGCAGATCGTTCGTTGGTCTCGGCCTTCGTGACGTGCTGCTTCAGCTGCGTTGGGTCATGCTTGTGATCAGGTTGCTGGATATGGAGTTGTACCTGAGCATGTCCGAATTTTCACGCAGCCCGCTGTGTTCCAGGCAAACTAAAATCCAAAAACCCTTCGGCTTATGCGAAGCCTTTATAGAAAACACTAAACACTAAACCTTACGCCTTACGCCTATAAAATGCCTCAGCAAACCGAGGCGCCGCGGTCATCAGACCGGCCATCTGCTGCGACTTCTCTTCGAGCAGCTTGGTGAGAGCCTTGATCTCCATATTCTGCAACTCGACGGCCGTTTCTAGCTCAGCGACCTGGCGACGAAAACACCCCGAATCCAGCTTAGGGCTTGTACGAACTAGAGACAGAAAATGACAGAAAGGATAGCATGGCCGCAAAGCTTCTTGGCATTTTGGGGTGGGATGCTTGCTGCACAATTGGCATCAACCTGCGCATGCCCTTGCCTTGGCATAGAGGAAAGTGAAGGGCTTCGACAGAGACCCCAGTCCGTGGCGGTGTTGAGGGTCCGAGCTGTTTGAGCTGTTTGCTTCTGCATCAGGAAAGTCCTCTGACGCATTCAGATCCCGCAACAAGCTGTCGGTAAGCAGTTCCGGGAGGGACTCATTGATCTCAGAGCTGACTCCCACCATGCGACCCTTCGTCGTCTTGGCGGAGAGCATCGATGCTCCCTCGGCCTGATTGCGATCACCGTTTGAACATGTGTCTCCACTGACAAGATGTTGGCAAATCAGCCACACGCTCAGCCAACACGGCAAAGCGCTGGACACGATTTTGCCCATGGCGGTAAAAGTGAGAAAAGGGTGTTTGCTGCAGCAGAGTTTGCTATAGCAGAGAGCCAAGAAAGCTTTCGGAGCCAGTCGAAAGCGTTAAGCCCACAACGTTGCAGTGTGCACCATGTGCTTTTGACAGTGTACAATGGGCTTGGGGCATACTGAATATATCATGGCCAACGCTGAGGAAGGGGGGGCCTAGCCCAGGAGTCTGCCGTTGTCATGTCGCGGTATGTCACAGTCTCATTTCTGGCATCTTCTGCTTCGCACTGCCGGAAGCTTGGAAGATGCTACCCAAACACCTTTCCCCCCGAACCCTAAAGCCTGAATCCGACCTTTCCACTTTGAGTCCAGCACTCGAAAGTGCTAGAGGGGCCTGCTCTCTCGAAGCAAGGCGGCTTGGCGAGGATGGCATACCTTCCCAGAGACCCCAATACTGACATAATTTCAGGTAATCGCCTTTGAGATTGGGGCTTCTGCAATTATGGCCCTTCTTGCGTCTCCATGATGATACACTCCTTGGGGTTAGCAGCTGGAACTTATTATGGGTCATGGGCCCAGTGTTCAGGGTTGTCCACAACCTAACCCCCCCCCCCACCCCCCCCACCCCCCCCAAATCTCGCAAATCCTGCCGCCGCAACCCCTCAAACTGGGCGCCCTTGCAACCTGACAGGAGCCGATCAAGATACCTGGCGCGGCAGCGGTGGCAAGGGACAGCTTCAGGAATCCAAGAAGTAGGCGTTTGATGTGATTGGGTTATATACCCCGAAAAGATGGATGATATGTTGGGACCTTAGAGCTTTAGGAGTTTGGGGCTTTAGGACTCGAGGGTGTTTGTAAGGCTTGGTCGGGGTCTTTGGGTCTTAAGGAGCTTGGCTGGTGTCCCAAAATTTTTAGGGCTTTAAGAGTGAAGCGTTGGATTTTTAGGGTCTTCTGGGCCGCGGAATTTCGGGGCTTTGGATTTGTGAGAGGTGGCTCGGGCTCCTGGGGCTGGGGGTTTAGAGCCTCAGGGTATAGGGTTTAGGGTTTGAGGATCTGCCAAAGGTTTAGGGTTCGGTAGGCACTGTGTAGTGTTGTTCTTGGTGACCTGGGATAGAGCATACGGCAGGGGGGCCTTATTGCCACCAAAATCGAGTTATTAATGATATGATCGTGTTTTTCTCGGATCATGTGTTTCCCAGGATGGGTTAGAAATCTTGATCAAATTTATATCTCAAATGTTCCAATTTAAGTGCATCGGGCTCATGTTTTCGTCTCGCGCTCGGAGTGCCGCTCATTAGAGATAGCGCTGCAGAAATATCTTATCTTCATGTTTTATATCCAATTTTTCATGTTGATTTGATATTTCTTGGAGAGAATTTATATATCCGATTATTATCGATGATTTCTCATAAAATTGGAAGAAGAATGATATCGATAGATTTGTAGGTCGTCAATTATAATCGTATTATTTCCGAATTTTTATATGTTTTATTTGTAAATATTTTAGAATCTATTCTTTTCTATACCTTAGAATTCTCGAATATCTTGAAAAGGAGATTCGTAATTAATATAGAATGGAGAGGGAATGAGAATATTTGGAGAATGAAATAAAAAAAATATCTGCTCAATTCTAGATAAATTTGTATGTATTATTCATTCTCATTCTTATGATATTTCTCAGATATTATGATAATTTTCGATTTTGAAAAATTCATCTAGATATTCTATGGATATTCGATGAAATTAAGAAATCATATTAAAAGGATTTTAAAATTGATTGTAATATCTATCTATGAAAGAAGAATATATTAAATAGATTTAGATTGGTCTAAAAAATATATTTTGAATTTGGATAATATTTCGAATATAAAAAAATATATTTTGATAAGTTTATGTTCCAATAAGAGATCTATAGATTGAATGATTCTGAAATATATCAAATTATGAGAAATCTAAATTATGGGAATTATGGATATCAAATAATATAAATATTTATGATATAAAAATCAGATCGATATATAAATTTAGATTCATTTTCATGAATCGATTTTGAATCTGATCTTTGACATCGATCATACGAGGACATCTCATGAGAATTAAGGAATCATGAGGATCTCTATTCTGGATAATTTTATTTGAGATCTTCATCAGATATGGAAAATAATCTGATATGGGAATATATTGATGATTATTGATATATTTGCCAAATCGATCATTATAGATTTGGATTCGAAATTATTTGATAGGAATGATTGGGGAGTTACTAGAGGATAAGGACAGGAAATATGGATGGGACGCGGAATAATTCAAAATGGAGCAGGACGCCAGGCAATAGATTTTCTCCTCATGATAGAGTAGTTCCCTCGGGACGAACCAAGACCAGACGATATGGAAATCAGGGAAATAGAATCCAATTTAAGGTCCAGAAATCTAGGGCAATCCTGATGGAATCAGGACCAAATCTTTAATGGAACGAAAAGATTTTATAATAAATATCAAATCAGATAAGAGAAAGAGCCGCTTGGGAAATCCCAGCCCCGGATTCTCATGGAGGAATTCAGGAGAAGGAAAAGGTTAAAGATGCCTCAGGAAATCAATGACGCTTTTTCCTAGTCCTAAGGGGAAGAAAGACCGAATAAAATTTCCTCAATATGAAATTGATGAAAACGAATCAATTAATATCTGGAAGCCAAGATCTAAATATAGGGAGATTTAGGAGATAGGATAGGATAATGATGATTCCTCGTCGTATTCAGGCCTGAATCATATCTCCCAAGAATATTAAGGAGGAGACGATTGACTCCAAGGATATGCAGGAGTCCAATCCTCTAACCAAGATCTGATCCAATGGGAACCAATTGGGGACGACAATCAAATATCAGGATATATTGACGACCTTCAGAGACTGGATCTACGAATCCCTTTGCCAGATGCCTCCCGGAAAAAGAAGATAAAAGAATAAGGAAAATAATAGAAATAATTCAGGATGAATAGGACGTGATGAAATATGAGGAGAATGATTCAGATCTTTCGTCATATCTTGAATCTATCAGATTGTGCCCGACCATAATCGCCTCCCTGGCGGAGGTCAATTGGGACCGATATTGTGAGAGCGCCAAATTACGACGCGCAATATCACGATAGTAACGACGCAGAAGCCAGCGCCAGTAACAGCGCGTAGGCAATCCCGAAGCGTCCCGACAACCTAAGCCCTAAACCCAGCAATCAAAGAAACTTCGTCTTTCGGAGCTTCACTGTGATGCCCTTTCACTGGCGTCTATCCTGAACCCCAGGATCCTTCAAAACCCTGCACAAGACACAAATCTGCAAAATCTCTTTTGTTCGCAAGGCAGCCATGTCCTGCAGAGCTTCCTTGGCCACATCCTATATTCTACTGGAGCCCACTCGCGCCCACAGCGGTTTGCGGTCCTTTACACTGTCTGGCATAAACTGCAGGCCCCCATACCCTGAATCCAAGACTTCCTAAACTTCCTAGACAACCCTAAACCCTAAACCCCAAACCCGAAACCCTAAACCCTAAACCCCACACCCTAAACTTCCTCAACCCGAAGTCGCAGAAACCTTTCGTGGGCGCATCTCTGGCCCCGGGGCTCCGAGGCTCTGAGGCTTCGAAGCTGCAAAACGGACTCACGCTTCTCGCAGCGAGGGGCCTGCCACTGGAAAGACTCTTGAACCCTAAACTCTATAAACCCTAAACCCTATACCCTAAACCCTATAAGGGTTGTACGGGGGGGTTTCTCACGTTTTTGGGCTTAGGGTTTCGGTCGGGCTCACATGGAGGCACTTAAATACACATATGAAAACCCCCAAACCCTAAAGCCCAAACCCTAAACCCTGAATATGTGCGACTGCTGCCGGAAGCAGGCGCGTAAATACCAAATCTTTAGGCTTATGGTTTACGGTATGGGGTTTAAGCTTTGGGGATTTGGGCGGAAATCAGAAGTACCCCGTTGTTTTTGCCACTGCGAGCTCTGGAGAGCCTCCGCCTGTTGGAAATCGAAACCAAGCTTCTGAAGCCATAAAGGGGATTTGCTTTCTGTGGCAGCAGCACCTTCGGAGCACGCCGCCCTAGCGCTTCCCAAAAGGGGATTTAGAAGCTTTCTGCGCAGGCATCACCTTTGGAGTACGCCGCTGTGGAAGCCGCTCGCCGACGGGTGTCACGGGCGCAGGACGAACATCAGGAACTGCAACTGGCTCATACTCGGGCCTCTTTCGCTTCCGGCTCCTCCGCGGTGCCTTTTTCTTAACATCCTCGTTCGAGGAGCCATCCGCATCCGACCATGTGACCGGCGCTTCCGTCGCCGCAGGCAAGTTTTTGGTGGGGAAACTCTCAAGCTTCAGCCGGGCTCTTATAGCCCACGCATGTGGGCAATGAGCCCGTCTTCTGAAGTGCCAACAACTGCAATGTGTTCGGCCGTCCGGGGGGTGATACACACAGCAGTTCTCATAGTAAAGCGTCTGAAGAGCCTCAAGCGCCAGCTTTTTGGATTCTGGCATCTGCACGATCAGGCCATCTTCGATCATCATGTCTTCCAGCGTTCTAAGATTCTTGGTGTTGATGTGCCGCCATATCTTCTCGACAGTCCCAGTGTCCATTGCTGCTGGCATGCCGCATTTCATGATGAAAATGCGGGTTTGTGGATTGCCACGGACCTTTTCCATGATAAAGGAAGGATTGCGTCGCGAGTCCTGCAAGGAACTCGAGGGGCCCCTTAAGGGATTTATTAGTCTACCTTGAACTAGGGGGCCCCTCCTGGTGTAAGCCCTACACGCCCCGCACACTCAAAAGGCTCTGCACCTAAGAGGCTTAGGGTTTTGAGGGCAACTTGTATGTCTCATGAAGATTCTCAAGCAACTCTATACGCGCAACCTTTTCTACAAGAATAAAGGTTCGGCTTAGGGTTCCGAGCAGGCTTTGGCCCTGTGGCCTCCAAAATTCGTTTGATCGTTGGGAGAAGTCGAACAGCCCCTGGAGCTCGGAGACGGTGCAGCGGCAGACCACGCAACATCCAACCATCGGGACGGGTAGGGACAACAGCAGTGCAGCCAGCGGGGGTCAAGAGAGTGTAGCTCTTTGCCTCGGAACTTCGAGTGGACGTCCAAAGAGCAACGACCTCTTTGAGGGACTCCAGCACGTCTATCACAGTTCTGCCAGGCGCATCGGTGATGCAACGCTTGAAGTGGCGGTGACTCTGTTCTACCGTCTGTTGGGACGGTGGAAAGCCGGCAGCGATTGGCCCCGAGGCCCCGTGCCACCATTTGGCGGCCCAAGCTTCAGTTTCGCCGGTAACGGCTGGCCGGAGTGAAGCTCGATAAAGGTATTGAGAGATGATATAGTCGTGAAATGCTGGCTCCTGCCAGCCATTCTTGACGCGTGTCAAGAATGTGCGAAGCGCAACCAAGAACAGGGCGGAAGTTGGTAGGAGGGCCAGGGCGTGTAGGTACGGCGGAACCACTTTCACGTCGCGACTCTTCATCCTCGGAACCCGAATTTCTGAACCATCCTCAGCGGTTGTCTTTTTCTTCGTCGTGATGTTTGCAATCATATGTTCCATATCGGGCACGTGAAGAGGCGGGTGAAGAACATTCTGGCCGGCTGCCTCCTTTATTGCCGAAGCCAGACCAGGAGCCCAATCAGTATGTATCTGGCTTGCGGTTGGAAGCTGGCGTCGCTGAAGCTCCGTAGCCAGAGCGCTCAGCGCGTGCTTGTACACCTCAGGCCGCTCTGTGGGGTGCCGAGCCACACAAAGAGGGAGGGCCGAGCGGCGCCAGTGCTGGTCTAGGTACCTGTACATGGACGCCGTGATCACGTAGTACCTGGGCGGGGTCTATCCAGAGGCTCATGAACTTCTATCGCACATCGAAAGAAACAGCGTTAAATAGCCACAGAAACAAAAACCCTAAACACTAAACTTAGACCAGACATCAGTATCGGGCTGCGTGAAATCATCTGCCTCCACTTTCCACGTCGCATCAGCGCCTAGGTACAGGCGCGGGAGTGCGCCAGCCCTCTTTAGCGCGCAGAGCTCGTCCAAGATCGGAGGCAGCATCAGAACGAAGGAGCCGCTTGGCAAAGCTGCAGCAAAGCTGATTTTGCCTTGGTTGCCTGAGTTGGCCTGCACATACGCATCCCACTCTTGCTTGGACACCGACCTGACGATTGGCTGTTTTTCACGCCTATCCTGGCCTCGGCCATCGTCCACCCCCGCCTTCTTAGCACAGGTCCTCGCGAGGTACCGAAGGGACGAAGGGTTCGTTATCAGCTCGGCATCTCCCCGTGCTGCAATCTTTCGCGCGACGCGGGTCGGTGTGACCGACTCCTTCGACTGTGACAAAGATTCGACCGCCTGCATGACGCGCCTGCGTGTCAAAGTCGTGCTCGGTCGATCGACAGCATCGGACTTCAGCTGGCGCGGCCTTCCGCTGCAACTGCCAGAGACCATCACAGTCAATCGCACATTGAGGACATTGCCATTGTCCGGCCGGTCAGGCGTGGCACGAAACTGAAACATTGTTCCATTGCCAGCATGGCATTCTGCGCAGTCCATGCAGCGACACTCAGCTCGCCACTCCCCTCCAGCAGTTCGGCGTGGAGTAGTCAGCTTGCCCAGCTGGAAGTCTTTGCGCTCCCCATCCATCCACTTCTTGCAAGATGCTTTGAACGCATGCTCCACCGCATCAGTCGGAAAAATCACTCGACAGGCAGATATGTCTATGGCAAAATCACCCACATCATGGTCCTCGTATGTTCTGGTCCTGCGTGTAGGTTGCACCAACTGGCCCCCACCACTCTCTGCATCGCCCGAAGCCAGGACGGCATCGCCCGAAGCCATGAGGGTGACAGCTTCAGGATTGATTCGGGTTGTGTGACAGCCTGAGGACTGACTCGGGTTGTACTAGAATTAGTGAACACTGTATAGGGTTGTAAAGTCTGAGGGTGGTTGTACCTGTGTCCAAGCGCAAGGAGTGGAATCTGGCGGGGAGCCTCACTCTGTGTTGTGATGAGGATGTAGGCACCCCCACCCTATAGGGTCTAACGGTTGAAGGGATGGTTGAATGGTTAATGCTGGCCGTACAATCCTCGAGCTCAAAGCAAATCGGGCCACTGGCTTTCTTCAAGATGGAGGTTTCAGATCTTAGGGGGTTTGGGGTTTCGGCCTTAGGGGCTTGGTAGTGATTGGAACAGGGGGTACTAGAATCAGTATTCAGCACTGTATAGAGGTCTAAAGTCTGAGGGTGGTTCTACCTGTGTCAAAGCGCAAGGAACGGAAACAGGCGGGGCGCCTTGCTCTGTGTTCACAGCCAGGGTAAAGAGCTCGTTGACGCGCGCCTGGTCATTCTCTGACAAGACTGGTGGTGATGAGAAGGTATGTGGCCTTGTACGGCGCGAAGCCCTGCAGTGAGAGGCCGAGCTTCTTTGCCACCATTTTGTGACCGTCCTGCCGGGAGAGCTGGGACCGCAGACTACACTGATCCTGATTAGCGCGGTGGCAAACCCTCAAAAGTTTCGAGCCTTGACACTTGAATTGGGTAAATCCAATTCGTTCATCGCAGCTGTGACAGCCTTTCCAGCAAAGCCAGGGCCGTCAAATGTTAAACAAGTTAAATAATCTCTTGGCCCCATGCTTCCTGCAATGTTTCCTCTGTGATGACAGCCTGTCAAGTGGCTGCAGGGGCAAAGCAGCAGCATAGCGAGCACGCCCTGCGTCCCCCGGTCTCTTCCCCAGCCTTGTCAGGCGCTCCCCCCCCGGGATCCGCGGCCTGCGAAACGTTTAGGGTTTTGTTTTGGGTTTTGGGTTTAGGGGGGGGCTTAGGAGGGCTTAGGAGGGTTTAAGGTTTCAGGTTTAGGGTTTAGGGTTTAGGGTTTAAGGTTTACGGCAGCATGCTGGCCTTTGCGTCACGTCGCGGCACCTTCTTTGGGGGCTCAGCGCGCTCGGCCTGCAGGAGCCACCAGCCCCCTAACCCCCACGCGGCACATACGTAAGAGGCCCCAGCGGCCGGCTGCTTGAGCTTCCTCATCGTCGATACCTGAAAGACGGTCAAACAAAATAGCAGCGCTAAGCAGTTTACTTCTCTGAAATGACAGACTGCAAGCAAAACGCCTTGTCGCGTGCTTCTTGCCTCTTGGCGATGGCCTTCGCCAAGAGCTGCTCGGCGTACTCCTGCATATCTTTCTCGACGTCCGTTACCTCCTGCACTTGGAACACCTCGCCCCACATGTCATCCTCTCTCTTGGGCGCCTTCTTTTTTATGATGCTTTCATCATATCCACGCTTGCCCCACACGGACAAGGGCAACCACGGCTTGTTCGTGACCGTAGCCACAATGCGCCTGTGGACTACGGCAACCTCCATAAGCAGCTTCTCACGCACTTGCGCCCACGGCAAGAAGTCTCCACGAGCCGCCTGACGCATGGCAGCAACCGTCGCAAAGAACTGCGACTGACTCTCCAGCTTCAGATCGGCCAAACAAACGGAGTGCTCCAGTAACTGCTTTGACAGTGCCCAGCAGGAGCGACACGTCGGTGGGCCACGGCGCTGGGTAGCAACAGGTTTCTCCGCGCCGATCAAGAGATTGCAACGGCCACAAGTCCAACTTTCCACCTGGACTGGCTTCTCTTCAAGGAGGCGCTGGATCAAGGTTGCCTGGTCGAGTGCGTGCATAACAAAGACGCAAAACAACACAGCTACCACGCAACCGCCGCATGAAGCCTTGTTGCCACGCAGCGGCAGGTGGCGTGAGCGAAGTTTGTCTTTGAGCTGCGCCACCTGAGTGACATGTAATTTGGGTTGTTTTATAAGAGAGGGGAGGGGGGTGGTCCCCAGTTCAGGCATGGGTTTTACCTACACCGCCCCTACGGCGAACCTACCTACACCGCCACTACGGCGAACCTGCCTACACCGCCACTACGGCGAACCTCCCTACACCGCCCCTACGGCGAACCTACCTACACCGCCACTACGGCGAACCAACCTACACCGCCACTACGGCGAACCAACCTACACCGCCCCTACGGCGAACCAACCTACACCGCCACTACGGCGAACCAACCTACACCGCCACTACGGCGAACCAACCTACACCGCCACTACGGCGAACCAACCTACACCGCCACTACGGCGAACCAACCTACACCGCCACTACGGCGAACCAACCTACACCGCCACTACGGCGAACCAACCTACACCGCCACTACGGGCGCCACTACGGCGAACCTCCCTACACCGCCACTACGGCGAACCAACCTACACCGCCACTACGGCGAACCAACCTACACCGCCACTACGGCGAACCAACCTACACCGCCACTATGGCGAACCAACCTACACCGCCACTATGGCGAACCAACCTACAAAAGAGCAAGGATTCCTTTCCGTAGAGAGAATGAGAGAGGATCAGAGAGAATCAATTAGGATTCCTTTCCTTAGAGAGAATTAGAGAGGATCAGAGAGAAAAACGGACCCCGCCAAGGCTTTATTATTGCGGCCGGGACACCTGGCGTACTTTAATATTAGGGGCTTTAGTAATAATACTAGGTCAACATTACACCGGATGAACGGCAATAGCGTCCTTGAACGCAGAGCAGCCAGGGCACAGAGCAACCTTCCAGTTGCTGTCGATTCTCGATCGGATCCTGAAAAAGGAATGGCAGACGACGAAGACTGAACCGGGCAGAAGCGCTCCTCATCGCCACGTTGGAGCTCGCACACGAGCAAGCACTCCTGCTCGTGTGTGGAGCACGAACGAACGAACAAACCGACCCGGTGGCCTCGAGAAGCCGTCCATCCCCAACACGACGGTTCAGCAGCTCCACGGCCTGCAAAACGTGCATCTGAAGAGACCATGCGTGCCACCTCATGCCACCACCGAATAAGACCCTGCAAGCACAAATGCAGCGAAGGGCCTTGGCCACGTTCTCTTTCTGCTTGAGCTTTACCAGGAGCACGCCTTCCTGCAGAAGCGATAGCTGCAAGGCCCCTGCAGTTCTGCCGGGTCTTGTTTGATGTACCATGAACCTCAAAGTAGCAAGCCGAAGACGCGCCTCCCTCTGGAATTCCAGGGATGCCACGCCACCCAACGTGGCAAAAAGCACGTGCACCTGCTCACAGGTGTGAGTCTTGTCAAGGCGAGGCAATCGCAAAGACCCCTCTCCTGCTCATCCGTCCAGCTTTCGGGGAATCCTTGAAGTCGCAGTCCTGGAGCATCTGTCGCCTTTGCGGCATGCGCGAGATTTTGCCCTAAAACCTAAGCCCTGCCTCTTTCAGTGCCTCCCTCTGAGGCTGTTTTTGCGGGGTGCGCGCGTGAAATGTCCCCGACGCCTCTTCCAGTGCTTCCTTCTGGGCCTCCTTGGCCTCCGCAGATGTGTAGCAGTTTAGGCTTTAGAGTTGGCGCTTCAGGGTTTACGGGGTGCAGAGAACACAAAGCCTCCGTAACCCTTAAGCCTTTCATCCCTCCCCTCCGCCCAGCGCCCTGCGTCCCGCCAGCCTGTGCGAATGCTTCCCCCTCGGCCTCGTCGGCCTCCGCAATCGTATGGGTTTAGGGTTTAGGGAGGAGGCCCAGAGAGCAAATTGAGCACGCTGGGCTGAGCAAATTGAGCACGCTGCACCGAGCCTAAAAAGCCTTTCCTAAATCCCTCCCCTCCGCCCGACGCCCTGCGTCCCGCCAGCCTCTGCGAATGCCCCCCCCTCGGCCTCGTCGGGTTGAGGCCCAGTGAGCACGCTGGGCTGAGCCTTGGCCCTAAACAGTGGCCCTAAACATCCCCCAGCCTCTTTCAGCGCTTGCCCCTGGGCCTCCTCGGCCTCCGCAGGTGTGCAGCAGTTTAGGGCCATGATTAGGGGCAAGTCGTTGGCCGGGTGCTTGATCGAAACTATGCTTGTCAGAAGCACACGGGAGAAACGTAAGAATGAACAGGGAAATCTCTCCTCCTCGTCATCCAAATCGACCACGCTTGGCTTTTGCTTTTCTTCTGGCTCCTAACAGAATTTTATTTACAGTGAGTGCAAAGAACTGCCCTGAATAATGACAAAGACATGGCAGAGGTCCGGAGAATCGGAGATTTCATCATCTTCATGTCCATCATCTTCATGTCTTTCATGGTCCTGACACATGGTTTGTCGGCTAAACGGCAAGACCAAACACATATTTGTGGTTCAGAAACAAGCAGGCCACCAGCTGGGTCGCCGACGTGACGGTCCTGCCGAATCTTCTGCTGAAAGCGCCATGCACCGAGGGGACATACACGGGGCGAGTTGAGGCCGCTCCGCCCAGCGTCAGACATGCAGCGGGTGACCCACCACACGGAGGTCTGGGGAACAAGCGCGCGAGCTTGGCGTATGTCAGATTCTCTGACCTCGTCAAACACAACTATGTTTCTTGCATTCTCCAGATCTCAACTGGGCTTGCAGCAACAGCGCTGTCTCCCGCAGAAACCTCGCAAGCCGCAGCAAAAGTCATGTCTGCAGCTTGACAAGGTACAAGGCAAAAGAGAGCAAGCCTGAAAAGCAGCTGCAGAATCCTCCAGTCGCTGCAAAACAAGAGAGCCTGCCAGAATGTTTCAGAAAAATGTGAGATGTCGCGTGCCATACACCCGGCCTTTCAGCACATGGAGAAAGCCAGGCCCATGCAGGAGCGCGAGCTCACCTGCAACGGAAGGAAATGAGAGATGGCGATGAGGAAAGCAGACACAAGCCTGAGTGCTGCAGCGTGAGCACTTGAGGGGAAAGCGCAGGCATGCGCTGCCAAGCCGCTGCCACTTGGAGCCACAACGAAGCCACGGAAAACGAACGGATATGAGAGGACCTTCTGCGAACCTACACCGCCACTACGGCGAACC